TTCAAAGACACTGAGCCGAGCACTTTCTGTACCTGGGCAGAAAAGCCCCAAGGAGGACCCTTCCATCATCCCCTCCACTTTGCATTGAAGAAAGTGAGACAGAGAGGTTAAGAAACTTTGCTAAGGTTGTCCAGCCTAGCAAGAGCCCTGATTTCAGAGACAAGCTGCATGTAAACCCATGCACTCAAACATGCACTGTGTGCCTCCAGCCCAAGGTCACTGGGTGAGGGTCTCCTTTCCCACTCCTCCTGGCTCTGTCCCAGCCCCAGCCCCCCACCAGGACCTGCTCTGCATGCAGCAGGGCTGCGCTGGGCTTGGTCGGGTGGGTGGATGGCGGGGGACAATCAGGGTTGTGAGGGCCAGGGAGGTGGGTGAAGGACCAGGGAGGTGGGCAGTGGGGCTTTGTCCGGCGGGGGCGTCTGAGCCTGAGGAAGGGTGTCGTTGAGCCGTGCAGCCCCGTGGGGAGCACGCTCAGGTGGCAGGGCCGGAAGTCGGGCTGGGCACGAGGCGCAGGGGGGGAGTGGGGCGACAGGCAGGCTGCGTGCGCAGCAGACATTACCTCACCGCACAGCGAGACTGGAACTCAGCTAATGGTCCTGTTACCAGGGCAACAGCCGCAGCACCCATCCCGGGAAGCCCTGCGGAGCCTTCTCCGCGGCAGCACTAGAGGCAGCACTAGAGGCAGCACTAGAGGCTCTGAGGTGCGAGAGGGTGAAGGCCGGGGCTGCTGCCAGGCACTGCACAGGACAGCCCGACCTGCGCCCTCTCAGCCAGCTCTCCAGGGAGGGAGGCAGCAGGGGCCACTGAGGCCCACGGCAGACTGTGGATGCTCAGGCCAGTCTGAGACACTAGTGGTGCTGGGGCCCCCCACGTCGCATCACAGACTCGTGGAGACTCCGCAGGACGGCACGCGTTTACCCAGAAGCCAACACACGCTTCCCCGGAGCACTGCCAGTGTCCAGGGAGGTGTGACAAGAGCCCTCCCCTGGGAGGACCCAGGGGCTCCGGGTTCAGGGAGCCCAGCTGCTCCTCCCAAGGCCCCAGGGAAGTGAGCCTTCTTGCCGTGACCCCTCGGCTCACCACCTGTCCTTCCGTCCTGCCAGGACCCTCAGGATGAGCTAGGCCTGTCGTCCAACTGACCACTCTGAGTTGCCCAAAGGAGCAGCCCCCCAAAGGCATTAGGAAACTTGAGGCCCAGGCAAGAGGAACACAGGGTCTCACCTTCCAAACCAATGCCGGGCCAGCCCGTCCCTCCCTGGTGGAGCAGCCTGGCCAGCTGGCCAGCACCTGTATTCAAAGCCCTCACCTCTGCACCTCGAGTTTTCTCCAGACCCTTTCCATGAGATTGCCAAAGCAGAGAGGAAACGGGACTCAGTTTCCCTCGGTCTCCTCTGTGACCTCCCCAGCCCGCAAAACGCAAATACAGGTTTCACTGCCTCCAAATTTGCGTGTAGACTACTGCTTGAGGAGGAGTGGGAGACAGGCAGCTGTCCCTGCTTACAGACAGACTTCCGCAGAGCACTGTGCGCCCCGGGCTTTGCTCTGCTTGTGCCAGTTTGCCCAGTGGGCACAGAGCGCCCTGACTTCTTGGAAGGACTCCCTCCCAGCAGGAGGGCCTTGGGGGGGTCTGAGGCCTTGGAGGCCGACTGTAGCTGGCTCTAGCACTCCTTTTCTGAGTGAGCTTAGGCACTGCTTTGCCTGTTGGTTTATTCTCCCTGCAAAAGGAAGAAATTTATACTGAACAATCTCAAAGCTCAGTGTAAGCACGTCAAGGCTGGAAGGCATCATAAGCCTCTGAAGGACAAGGAACCCCAACATACAGACGGATTGCATTAAAACAGTGGCCCCATCCCATGTGAAGTCAAGGTACCCTCGAGTGCAAAGAGGTGACGGTTCCCTGCGAGGAGCTGAGAAGGACGACCGAGCCGTCTCCAGCACTGGCACGTGACTGGTGCTGCGGCTCAGCAGCGAAGGCCTGCGCCCGCCCAGGCCAGTTGTCCCCAGCCACTGTGCTTAGAGCTCCTGTTTCTGCATCCCTAAGATGGCCAGCTGGAAGGACCACTGCCCGACACAGGCGGTCGCCATCGTTCCTCCAATCACAAGCCTCCTGTGCAGCAACCCGGGCGCAGCTGCACCCAGCACCCGGTTTTACTAAAGAGGACACTAAGGCCCACAGAAGGCATCACGCTGGCCCAAAGCACTGGGTGCAGCTTCTCATTTCAGAGCTCATGCCGCGCCACGCGCTGAGATCTGCAGGAGACCCACAGCAGAGCCCCTGTTGTCCCAGCCGCTGGTTCTGAGGGCTGCAGTCCTGCGGCACAGACTGGCCCTGGGGTCACCGCACACACAGGGCAGCACACGCCTGAGTGGAGCGTATCCCATCCCTCCCGGGACCGTGCCTGGCTGAGGCTGCCCTTGGAGCGCCCTGGAGAGAGGCACTGCTGCAGAGGCGCTGCCTGGGGGCCCGGAGACGGCGGTCCCTGGGACCTCGGGCTGCTGGCTCCCTCTTTCCACTCCCGAGTGGAACCATGCACCTCAGTGCTGGGGCAGACTGGGCTCCTACCTCCTCCCACAGGCTCCCACTCCCCCCACACACTCCCACCCCCCCCCACACACAGGTTCCTCCACACACACAGGTTCCTCCACACACACAGGCTCCCACCCCCCCACACAAAAAGGCTCCCACCCCCCACACACACACAGGCTCCCACCCCCCCACACACACACACACAGGATCCACCCCCCCCACACACTCCCACCCCCCCACACACACAGGTTCCTCCACACACACAGGCTCCCACCCCCACATACAGGCTCCCACACCCCCACACACAAAAAGGCTCCCCCCACACACACACACAGGCTCCCACCCCCCCCACACACAGGTTCCTCCACACACACAGGCTCCCACCCCCACACACACACTCCCACCCCCCCACACACAAAAAGGCTCCCACCCCCCCCACACACACACAAGCTCCCACCCCCCCCACACACACACACAGGATCCACCCCCGACACACACTCCCACCCACCCACACACACAGGTTCCTCCACACACACAGGCTCCCACCCCCACACACAAAAAGGCTCCCACCCCCCCACACACACACACAGGATCCACTCCCCCCCACACACACACAGGATCCACCCCCCCACACACACTCCCACACGCCCACACACACAGGTTCCTCCACACACACAGGCTCCCACCCCCACATACAGGCTCCCACCCCCACACACACAAAAAGGCTCCCACCCCCCACACACACACAGGCTCCCACCCCCCCCCGCCCCACACACACACAGGATCCACCACACACACACAGGATCCACCCCCCCACACACACACACAGGATCCACCACACACACACACAGGATCCACTCCCCCACACACACTCCCACCCCCCCACACACACAGGTTCCTCCACACACACAGGCTCCCACCCCCACATACAGGCTCCCACCCCCCCACACAAAAAGGCTCCCACCCCCCACACACAGGCTCCCACCCCCCCCACACACACACACAGGATCCACCCCCCCACACACTCCCACCCCCCCACACACACACAGGTTCCTCCACACACACAGGCTCCCACCCCCACATACAGGCTCCCACCCCCACACACAAAAAGGCCCCCCCACACACACACACACAGGATCCACCCCCCACACACACTCCCACCCCCACACACACACAGGCTCTCACCCCCCCCACACACAGGCTCCCACCCCCACACACACACTCCCACCCCCCCACACACAAAAAGGCTCCCACCCCCCACACACAAAAAGGCTCCCACCCCCCCCCACACACACACACAGGCTCCCACCCCCCCACACACACACACAGGTTCCTCCACACACACAGGCTCCCACCCCCCACACACACAGGCTCCCACACTCCCCCACACACAAAAAGGCTCCCACCCCCCCACACACACACAGGCTCCCACCCCCCCACACACACACAGGATTCACCCCCCCACACACAGGTTCCCACTCCCCCCCCCCACACACACACACACACACGTTCCCCCAGCTGGCCTCCTGTTCTTCTCCACCTGTCTGCCCTGGGAGTTGCCCCCTGCCCCACCCACACTCCCTCAGAGTGCCCTGTCCAGGCAGGGTCAAAGTCTGGGTGAAGTGGACACTAGGAGCTGCTGCACAGTAGCCCTTGAGCTTTGACCTTCTTTAGACAGGAGTCCTTATTTCCCTGTCCGGGAAGCAGAGAATGCGGACTCCTGGCCCGGGTTGCTAAGCCCGGGGAAGTCCTGAGTTGAGCACACTGGCAGTTTTCATAAGTCCTTGGGTCCTGCAAGTATTCTACTATTTTCCTCCTGAGCAATGAAAGTGTGCCAAGCTCAAATTCCCCTTGGCCCTGTGCCAGGGCACAGACCTGGCAGCCCTCGACTCTGCCCTGTGGCAGGTGTCCCGGCGGCCACATCTGGATGCAGTCTTTAGCTGGGAGGGCCTGAGCGTCTGTCTTCTCCACAGACAGGAAGTCAAGCCCTGGGAGGCGGCAGCGTCCCCACCGCCCTGTGTCTCTGCCCACCTGCCCCTCAGGTCACCTGTGTGGAAGCTGCCAGCACCTTCCCGCCCCCAGGCGGGGACGCCACAGATACAGCTGCCCCCACCCCCCAGCTGAGCTGCACCGGGAGGAGCCTGGGGCTCACCTGACACCCCACCTGTCCTGGGAGGGCCGTGGGCCAGCTGGGGACAGGGGGGCCACTGGCTAACTCCCTGGGAATAGCAGGACCTGCTGTTGCAGCCCCCTGGTAAGTGGGGCGAGCTGGTGTGGTAAGGAGCAGGCTGGCTCTTCTCTTGGCCCCAGGATACTCCCCCAGCTGCTGGTTTTCTGGTAATGCCTGAGCCCTTGCCACCAGGGAACTGAAAATCCTAAGGAGACTCCCAGGTCATCTGGCCCTCCTCACCCAGACTTTGACCCTGCCTGGACACTGAGGGAGTGTGGGCAGGGTAGGGGACAAGTCCCAGGGAAGACGGGTAGATGAGAAAATAAAGCCCAGAGAAGTTGAGCCACTCAACCAAGGGCAAACAGCCTGATCCAGACCCTCCCAGAGCAAGATTTCTGAGAAAAATAATCATGCAAGTTGTTCTCTGGGGGAGAAAGAGTGTTTTTTTGTTTTTTGTTTTTTGGGTTTGTTTTTTAGTTTCTGAGATCAGGGGATTTGGGAAATGGCACACTCCCGTCCCCCTTCTTCTGTCTGTTCATTCTTCATTTAACAGATATTTGCTCAGTCTGACGGAGGGACCCATTTCAGGGATCTGGTCCAGCCTGGCAAAGTGGAAGTGAGCCCCACAGTGCTCAGGCTTCGGGACCATCGCTGCCCCGCTACCTCGAGCCGCAGGAGCGTTGCTGGAGGCTGGCCGTCCACAACGCTTTGCTAGCACTCCGGCCTGAGGCACGGCTGCGTCTTAAAACGTCCGCCTGGACAAGAAGGCTGGAAATGGACGGACGCAGGCCGCAGGTGCAGGCTCTGTGCAGGAGAGAAACCGGGAGAGGAGGACGACGTCAGGGACAGCCCTCCAGGAGCCCCGGTCAGGGTCAGCCCCGGTTAGGGTCATCTGTCCTGCAGAGGGAGAGGACGACGCAGCCCTCCTAGCAGGGCCCTGCCACACCAGCCCACCCAGCTGCCTCCACCACGCTGACCCCCCCCTCGACCTCCGGCTCCCCGGGGAGAACCCATTCTATTCTGCAGACTGACGTTCAAATTCCCCCCTGGGCAACCGCGGAAGATCTAGGCAGGATCTTATTTTTTTAATAGGTTTTTTTAATTATGTGGAAAGGGTGGCTCCCTATCAATTAAGTCATGGTTCAACCCGTACAGCTGTCACTGGGGTCGTTAGAGTGAGTGAGTGGGATTGCTGCTGAAACAAGGTCACTTTCCATTAGGGAAACACTCCTAGTCGTCCGTGGGTCACGGCCGTCGCCCAGGAGTGCTGACTGAGTCGCTCCGTCAGCACCACCCACCAGCACCTCCCTCTTGGCAGAGAAGCCAGCAGGGAAGCAAACCACCAAGACGGGCACCTCACTCCTTGGACAGCTGTGCACCCCGGGCCAGGGCCACGCACCCTGAGACGCTGAACACGGACTCCACGGTCGTTAATACTTACCGCCAAGTTACATGTGAACATTTTAAGGAATAAAATCCCATTTCCCCAGAAATACGATTCTAACTCCTGAGACGCTCCGTCTTGGTCTCGTCCGGGTGTCCTCTCCCACAGGTGAGCATCCTGTGCTGATGCCGCAGACTCCGACCCTCCCTCCAAGCTCCCGTCATCCTCCAGGGAGTAGTGAGTGGGAACTCGTACCAGGAGGCACTCAGGATCTCCAAGTCCTGGAGGAAACAGGTGTAAGAAACACTCAGGGTGTTTAGGCACATTGGGTTTAAGGAAAGTAGGTTGTAGGTGATCAGAAGTCATGGAGAACACTAGATTCACAGCAGTTCCCCCGCAGACAGGCAAGAGCGCAAGCTAGGACTCTCACTCAAGGTCATCTGATCAGAGGGTGCCCCGGCTGGTCACAAAGGGGCACCCCTTTCTCATCTTCTCCTGACAAATTGCACCCCTCCCAGTTCCAAGCCCAAGGAAAGTCGGACTCCGAGCTGACCGTCATGTAGTCGCTGCCCGGCTGGGGGGAGGTCCCCAAGGTCCCCATGCCTGCATGTCGGGGTCCAGCCTGGGTGGACCCTCCCTGTCCCTGTGTGAGGAGCTGGCAGGGACGCACGCAGCACATGCTGACCTTCACACACACACACACACTGAACCCGTCGTGTCCCCGCCCCGCATGCTGCCAAAGCCACCGAGCCCCACTCCCCCAGGACAGCAGCTTACCGGACGCACACAGCGCCCAGAGGAGGTGCGCCTCTCCCTCAGCCGGGCAGTCCCCCGGGCTGCTGACATCACAAAGGTGTCAACTGGCAACCTCACTGTCATGTGGCTCTCCCCTGGCTCCCCTTCACTTGCAAACGCAGGGAAAGGGTGAGACCTTTCAGAGCCGCCAAGTGGGCCAGCTTCCAGCAGCAGGCTGGGGCCGAGAGCCGCCGCGCTGGGCGGCAGGGCACCGGGCCTCGCATTTCAACTTCTGCTCAGCTCTCCTGTAATGGAAAATTGCTTCGCACAAAGCTAGAGTGTTACAGTTCCTTCCAGCATCCCTCCCCCACCCGCCCGGGGCAGCCTTCAGACCAGAGGACGGAGGGAGCCCAGGAAGTGGAACAAGGGCAGTCCTGGCTCCTTACTATGGCCCTGGCTTGGGGCGCGGGCCCCCGGTGGTTGCTCTTTTCCTTCGGAATGGGGCTGGTATCGGGGTCAAAGTGTCCGAATACCTGTCAGTGTCAAGCCCAGGAAGTGATCTGCACGGGCATGCAGTTAACAGAATACCCCCTCAACGTCCCCCTGGACACCCGGAGGCTGTACTTGAACAACAACAAGCTCACTGGCCTGCCAGCCATGCCCCTGGGACTCCTCAGCGACCTGGTCTACTTGGACTGCCAGCACAACCGGATCCGAGAGGTCATGGACTACACCTTCATCGGGGTCTTCAAGCTCATCTACCTGGACCTCAGCTCCAACAACCTGACCTCCATCTCCCCGTTCAGCTTCTCCGTGCTCAGCAACCTGGTGCAGCTGAGCATCGCCAACAACCCCCGTCTGCTGTCTCTCCACAAGTACACCTTCGCCAACACCAGCTCCCTGAGGCACCTGGACCTCAGGAACACCGGCCTGCAGACCCTGGACTACGAGGCCTTCCACCACCTCGCAGTGCTGCAGACCCTGCACCTGAGTGGAAACCCCTGGAAGTGCAACTGCTCCTTCCTGGACTTCGCCATCTACCTCATAGTGTCCCATCTGGACCACCCAGGTGAGCGCTCGTGGGCGTGGGGGAGAAGTGAGGAGGAGCAGCGGCTGGTCCCAGGAAGACTGTCAGGGTGGGCGAGTGCCGGACTGCGGGGCTGAGGCTCAGTGGGCAAGTTCTCAGCAGGAGCCAAGGACCTGAGCTCTGCTCAACTTGCCCTCGCTAGTGGGCTGCCCTTGGAAAAGTCCTCACCCCTCTGAGCCTCGGGCTCCTGATTCATAGAGTGGGTACGTTGGTGTCCCCTAATATGCGGGGTTGTATCCTGGTGTGTGTGGAAAGTACCTCGGGGACGCTGCGCCCTTGGTGGACAGTGCTAGTCTGCGTCCCTCAGGGGCTGAGTCTCTCCAGGCTCTGTCGGTCAGCTCCGTCATCATGGGCCACGGAGAGCCCGGTGGGTGCAGGATGCGTAGAAGGAAAGTTCAGCAAGGAAGGAGGGAGGCCTGGGGGGTGGAGGACGGGAGTGGGCAGAAGAACTCACAAGGCAGCAGCGAGGAAGCAGCTCTGTGCAGATCCATGGGGACGGGTCACAGTGCTCGCTCTCCAGCAGGGAGATCCCGGGCTACAGGGGAGCCTCAGGTCCTAGTGGGAGGTCTCCAAGCGGGCTGTGACCACTCTGCCCTTGCCATGGCCCCTGTGGCTGCCCAGGGCCTCGTGCCCCCTCCTTGGGGGCTTCACTCTCCTGTCCTTGTCCTCCACCGTCCTCTCCACCAATAGCACGACAGTCCAGCGAGGTCAGAGCTCCCGAGAAGTGAGAGATAACTACCCACAGGAAGCCTGGAGCCACCCGTAGGAAGTTCCCCCACGTGGCCATGTGTTAGGAATGTCCCTAGCCAAGATGGCAGGCTTCAGAGGACAGGCAGAGGGAGCCTAGGGGGAGGGCAAGTATACCTGGCCCTCCTGCCCTCCAGGACATGTCACCAGATCTGCCGGCCAGGGCCTGGAGTAGCGGAGCAAGTGGGGACTCGGAGGTGAGCATGTTGTGCCCAGGTGCCTGACGCTGCTCCGGACACTCCAGCTTGAGCTGTAGAGTTCACCAGGAGACTCTTCAGACCACCTTCTGAACGGTCAGCCGTTCCCCTGGGCAGGCTGCCTGGCTTCTGTCCACCACCTCCTCCAAGAGCCAGAGACAGTCTCCTACTTCTGCCCACTGCTGTCTATGATGGTTTCTAGAAAGGGTCAGCGTCAGCCTCCTCCCGCAGTCCTGGTAGTTCCTAAAGGGCCCCTGTCGGGAGCCACCTCTCAGCCATGTGAGGACTCCTCTCCCGCCCTCCCCACCATACACACGGGTCTCCAGGGGCCTTCTGCCCTAGCTGGACAGAGCAGAGCCTCTGGCCCCTGGCCCTCCCCAAGCCTGCTGCTTTGGTCCTGCGCACTTCCCCTCTCAGACTGCGTTGTAGGCTGAGCCTTGGAACGTTCCGGTGGGCTACTCTGGCTACTCGACTGGATTCGGTCCATGGCTGAGCAGGTGATAGACCAGGTCTGTTTCCTGATGTTTGCAAGGGAACCAGAAGGGAATGCCCATCTTGCCAAGCTCACAAGTCCACAGGAATAAGGAGTGTGTCTCTCGGGGTCAACAAACCCTCCGTCCCCTGGCCAGGGGACCTGCACAGGCACCGGCAGCTGCTGCCACTGGGTGGCCCGCGGGACCCCACCAGCCCACTTCATGAAGAAGCACAGCCTCGTGGCCCCAGGCCCCATGGCTCCCATGCACCATTTTCACGTCTGTAAGACGTCGAGCCCTTGAGACAAACCCAAGAATAATTTACACTCTACACAGCTTTGCTGCTGGGATGGTTTTCTCACACACCACGTCACATTTCCTTTGAGTGTCACACTGACCCCTAAACTTTGTGCCCTCAGCCTTGGATGAGAAAGTAGACTAGCCCCGAATCACACAGCCAGTAAGTGGCAATAAAGTGACTTGAGATTTCAAATTCAGTTCTTTATTAGAGGCCATGTCCCTGCCACTGTGACAACATGCCGGAGATGATCTTCTGTAAAACAGGGAAGGTTTCTCTGGTCACAGTTTTGGAGGGGTCAGTTCAGTCAGTTGACCTGCTCTGGGCCTGGGGAGGTGGCGCGGCACAGTGGGAGCGTGTGGCCCAGGGAGCCTCATCTTAGGGCAGCCCAGGACCAAGGGAAAGGAGAGAGCCGGTGTCCCCACTCCCCTCCAAGGACAGCCCCAGGACCCTTTCCTGCCCCCAAGGCCCAGTTCCTACAGGTCCACCACCTCCCAAAAGATCCAGGGGCTGGAGATGGAGCCTTTAACTCATGGCCTCGGGGCCTCGGAGCCAACACAGCAGGGTCTCTCTGTGGAACTAGGCCAGCTGTGAAACCCAGTCACCCTCTTTCCGTAAGTCCGTCCCACAGTGACTGAGTCGCGGTGCGGGCCCCAGAAGGCAGCGCAGGCCCGGCAGCCCAAACGCCATGTCCTCTCCTCCACGGAGGCCCACACACCCAAGACGGCCTCGCTGGGGAAGACCAGCCACACGGCCTGGCGGGCTGCCACCCACCCGCAGGCCTCAGGGCTCAGTCTCGTGGGCCGCGTGCAGGCTGGCCCCTCCCTCCCCCACATCCAATCCCACACACACATGAACACACGTGCCCACGGCATGGACTCACACCAAGTGCAAAGGCATGCCCCATGTATGCACGCGTGCAAACCATACACATGGCATACAATGTGAGGTACAGGTACACACTCACACACTCACACGCGGGCACAGACTGGAACCCAGAGCCAGATGTCCCCGGGGCCTCTCCGGCCCTCCAGCCAGACCTCCACACTCGGGAGATCTCATTCCCTTCAACCTCATGGTGCGGCTCCTGGGGGAGCGTCCACTCGGGCGCATCCTTGGTGACTCTGACCCTGGTGGTCTGAACATCTCTTTCACACTGGCTCTCAAAGTGGTGACCTCTGCCTTGTTCTAGAACAGAGCCCACCCCTCTCCCGGTACCCACGTTTCAGGATAGAGGAAGAACCGTTATCAAATGCGCTGAGCAACCTGGCTGTTTACACAGCGAACGCCAACTTAAAATGGCTCCCCTCAGACGCGGGAGCTAGTGTTCCGCAGCACGGGGAGCGCTAACCCGCGAGCGGCCTTGGGGACAGCGCAGTGGCCTGCCGTGTGCGCAGCCCTGGCAAAGCAAGGCAGGGAGAGCGAGCGGCTCCACGCCACCTGTTCCTCTGCTCACTGCCTACTGTGCTCAGGGGTGTCACGAGCCAGAGTCCTGGGGCTGTGCGGGAGAGTCGCAGAACTCCAGGTCACCACACGCACGTCCCAAGTTCCAGTCAGGCACAGCAGAAGGAAACAGAGCAAAAATGACCTGACTGTGCCTAGACACGCACCTGGGCCAGCCTCCACTACAGCCGTGGAGGACGGCCATGCACAGGCAGCCGAGCCCAGGGCAGGACTGTGGTCCTGCAGGGAAAGATGTGGGTTAGAACTCTGGCCCTGCTGCTCACTACCTGACAGGACTCGGAGAAGGCACTCGACCTCTCTGAACTTCAGTGTCCTCATCTTTAAGACAGAGATAATAATAGAACCAACCCACCTAGGGCTGTCACAGTGAGAAATGAGTGTTCATGAGCCCCCGTCAGCTGTAGCCTGGCACAGCAGCGGCTCGTGCACAAACAGTGGTGGGACAAGGAGGTCAGGGGACGAGGGAGCCAAGCAGCCGAGTGGCCCCTGGTCAAGCAGTGGACTCACCAAGGCTCAGCAAGCTAGGGACCGAGGACAGCGCGCTCTCCCAGGAGGCAGGACCAGGTGCGCAAGGGGAGCAGCGGGAAGTGTGACGCAGGAATCGTGGGAAGAGTGGGGTTAGATGATCATGAACACAGGGGTCCAGACCCAGTCAGCGCTGAGACTCGGGGCCGGACAGCAAGGGGTGCTCCTGACTCGCCCCGTCTGAGCTCACAGCTCCACCTTTGAAAGTCCCTAATATTTAATGAACGAATAAGAAAACTTGTAAAGAACGTCCCACTTCCAGAGGCAGGTAGAGGTGCAGGCGGCCCTGGGCGGTGGGGCAAGACGCCTGTCCCGCTGTGGGGGGCACTGTGACGCGACCTTGAGGGACAGAAGTCTCATGATTTAAGAATACTGAGGAAACCTCCCGACGCTGCGTGCCCCTGAGCCGAAATCACCCATCAGAGGCTCCCCCCTCTGAGTCCCAGAAGGTGTCAAGGTCTTGAAGAGGACCCTATGGCACCTCGGGGAGCCCTGGAAGAACCCAGAAGCCCCCTGGCCTTTATCAGCCCTGCCCACCCCAGGGGGAGGAGCCCGCTCTCGGGACACCTGACCAGCGGAGGGTGATTTGGCAAGAGGGAACCTTGGAGGGACAGAGGCCTTGGAAGGAAAGGGAGAGGGTGGAAAAGACGGGGGGCAACAACATGCCCTGTCCCATGTTGGCCCAGGGCGCCCCCTGCAGAGGGGTGAGAGAAAGTGAATGTTTGGTCCCCCTGTTCCAGCAAGAGGGTACGCTGACACTTGCCCAAATCGGGCAGAGATATGGTGCTGTCGTCGTTGAGGGTCTGAGTCAAAAGAGACCCCCAATGTGCCCTCACCAGATGTGCTGAGAAGACTCCGTCCCCAGGAGCCACATCCTCACTCTCCCCAGCCAGGGCGGGGCTGGGCGCTCCCTGCGCCAAGCAGCACAGGGTTAAAACAAACCCACACATCCATTTCCTTTTTTTTTTTTAATTTTTTAATATTTTATTTTTTAGTTTTCGGTGGACACAACATCTTTGTTTGTATGTGGTGCTGAGGATCGAACCCTGGCTGCACGCATGCCAGGCGAGCGCGCCACCGCTTGAGCCACATCCCCAGCCCCACATCCATTTCCTTTTTAGCCCAGGTCAGCAAGTAGGGGAACAGATTCCTGGCCAAAGCTGTGATTTTCCAGTCCCCGGTGCCGTCTGAAGGTGAGCGAGGCGGTGAGCGTTCTCTGGCAGGACAGGGTCGGATGCTTCTCAGCAGGCTCTTAAAAGCATCCGCGACTCTGAGCTCCTGGACTTAAGGGATCTGGCTCCCACATCCGTGTCCCTCCATCCCCGAAGTCTGTCCAGCAGATGTTTCTGCACTAGTAGGAACCATTTACATATGTGGCCTCCCAAGCAGTAGCCACTGGCCACATGTGACGATGGTGCTCTTGAAATTTACCTAGTACAACTGGGGCATTTGTAGTTCCACTTCATTTCAATTCCTGTAAATGCCACTCAAGGCGGTAGCTACCACGGTGGTCAGAGAAGCCCCTGCCATGGGGTGCCAAAGCTGGGCTTGCAGGGCCCAGCATCCTCCAGGTAAGCCCCATGTGGACAAGTCCTGACATGCACACTCAATGTCTCTCCAGGGTCATGATGCTCCTTATGTCCTGAGGCGTCCCAGCCTATTCAGTGTGAGATGTTTTTGTAGCTCACCTTGTGTCCAGCATTGTCATATGACGCTGGGGAGGTCTGATCCCAGAGGAAGTCATGATCCTGTCTTCCTGTAGAACATACAGGGCTCCAAGAGACGTGACATTGGGGTGACAGCCAGGAAGCTCTGTCCTAGTCTCAGCAAAGCCACGGTGTGATTTGGGGAAAGTTATGTCCTGGTCAAGTCTCACTTTTCTTTAGAATAAGGGAGCAGGATCCGATGTCTCTGAGTCTCCTTGTGCTGGTAGGTTAAGGACTTAGATATACAGGGAAGACACACGTGATGTAAGAGGAGAGCAGCAGTCAGCAGACAGGGTCCCAGAGAGTGTGGCGAGCTGGCACCCAGGTGGAGGTCTCCTGGAAGAGGCTTTGGCTGCAGAGTTAGGAAGGGCACTGGGGAAGGAGAGGCCTCGGAGGCCTGCACTCTCCTCCTCCCGCCGTGAGCGCCCTGGGGAGGTGGAACACAGCCCCGTGGAGGGTCTCTGTGCCCCCGACTGCTCCACTGCTCAGACATTGGTCCTCAACCTCCAGCGAACACGAGGACCCTGGGCTCATCGCCTGTGATTGGGATTCAGTGAGCGGCCAGTACAAGTGCCCTTAGACCAGCTTCCAGAAACCCTGGGCCATGTCCTGGCTCCCCAGCTCAGGAGCAGCTCCCACTGCTGAGCAAAGTGATTCTCACTGAGATGCTAATGGATGGTCATGTTCTGAAACGTCTGCTCCGGCAGTCACGGTTTGACCGGGAATAACAACCAACGGTGATAACGCAGAAGCGCCAGGCTACCAGGGGTCAAGACGGGCAGTGTGAGGCCAGAGGGTCCCTCT